CAGCAGAGCCCAGCCACAGCCCGCAGGCCGCGCTTTGTTCCTAACCGGACTTCTCCGACTCCGCCCCCTGCCCCACCCCCTCCATGTAGGCGGGGCCTCTCTTAAAAGGGCAAGGGCTGTGGGACCACGCTGCCCAGGTCGCGGAAAGCAGAAAACGGACTCTGCCACTAACAGACAGGGGTGGAGGTAGGAGGTGGGGTGGTGGTGCGGGGGGGAATAGGGGAAAGAAGCGGAGGATGCAGTTCCTTCGCGGTTCTCTCTTCCCCACAACACTCTTGTTTAATTATCCTGCTCAATTACAACCCTCAAGGAAAGGGATTTGAAAACGGAGTGGGGGTGGTCAGGAGACTGCGGTTAAGCCGTACTTGGTCCCTACTGTGCAACCTGACACTATCAGTGTCCCAGTACCTGGTCTGGGCCTAAGGTGGGATAGAATGATGGTATCAGGATGCTTGGGGAAGGAGAAGCTACCAAGGGGATTGGAACCCCAAATCTCACTCAGGGTAGGGAATGAGCACTGGATGGCTGAGGAGGCTGCAGGGGTGCCGCAGAGATTGATGCCTCTTGTTCCTGCTTTTGAGGAGGCTGTGGTCTCCTCAGAAAAAAGTATCACATAGTCCTCTCCCTCCCAGCCTCATCCTCTGAGTGGGGGAACTGAGTGGAAACAAGCCCAACTCATTTCTCCTGGCATCAAGGAGAGCAGACTGTGATAGCATGAGGCCAAAAGTAGGAAAAAGACGAATGGAGCTGGGATTAGCATGCACACTCAGAACCAAGAAAAGAACAAACTACACACAACAAAACAGCTGTTTTTCTAGAGGGTTTTTCTCAGGAGGGGTCTTTTAGTGTTGCAGCTGCTGAAGGCTGCGTAGGGCTTCAGCACAAGCCCGGATAAGGCTGCACAGCTGGATGCTAGTCTCCAGGGAGGTGCTAGAGCCCAGCTCAGCTGAGGCCCAGGTCAGCTTCTGCAGGAGGGCCTCCTGTGTGCAGGCCAGGACATCTGCATTTGGAGGCAGAGCAGGAGGGGGTGGCCCCTGGACTGCCTTGAGCCCTGCTGCAGCTCCCTCACAGTGCTCTGGACGGGGTACTGGGGGCTGAGGAGTAGGCCGAGAGCCCAAGGGGGGCTCCGACGCAGAGGCAAGCTGGTGCTCCCGAGCCTGGGAGAGGGCAGCCTGGGCATTCAGAGCTAAAAAAGGAAAAAGCCAGTGGAATGGTCAGGATACCTGGCCCATTGCCACCTCCCTACTCTTCACTGTTCTGCTCTTTCTATACTTGAAATGTTTTCCCTGCCTCTGTATAAGGTAACTCACCCGTTTTCTTCTTTGTATCAGAGTTATTTATGCTCTTGCTTTATCTCTCTCATCAGGACTACGCCTAATTGAGCTCAAACTCTCCCATGGTGTCTGGCACACAGTAGGTGCTCAGTGCTCTTACTGAATGAATCGTCCTTTCTAGAGCTGAAAGGACAAAGCACCTTACTCCCGCCCCACCCACAAATACCACTGTCACCTCCCAGGCCTACTGTTCCTGAGCCTCTATCACCATACTTTTTCACCAAGCACACTCGACCCCTCACCCGGATTATCTTTATCCACGTCTGAGTCGAGCTCCTGACAAGCCACACAGTAGATTTTCCGCTGTTTGTCTTGGAGGAGGATCGTCTAGGGGCCAGAAAGCACACGGGACAGAGGTGAGACGCCGGGTGATGGGGTCCAGAGGGAGAGTTGGGGAAAGGCCGTGCGGCCTGATCCTTGGCCCCACCCTTGATCCCACGTCCCGAGTCTCTCTCCTCACCCCGCAGTCCGCGCACGTTTCGCCCAGCATGCGGTAACCACGCAGCAGGTAGTCGCCCATCAGCCGGGAGATGCGATCCTGCCGCTCTCGCCGCGCTTGCAGCACCTTAGTCTCCGCTTCGGTCGGGGGCTCCCAAGAGAAATCGTCGACTTCTACGGGAAGAGAGGCACAAGAGGCTGTGGGTCTTGCCGAAGCAGGCTGCCTCCCGTATCCGGCAGCCACAGGCCTCCGCAGCCCAAGTTCTTACCAGCGCCGTTCAGGGCCATGTTGCCGTTGTCGCGGCTAGGCTCACCGGAAGTGACGCACAAGCAGCGCGTCTTCCACTTGACCCTGTTCCCTCCACGTTGAGCCGAGGATGAGGGCGGAAATGACGCTCGCTGTGCTCCTCAGAGGTCGCGATGCCCAGAGTGGGGCGTGTCTGCCGCAGGCTGGACCCTATCTCGTTAGCACCTCCCTCGGTCCCTCTATGGGAACCCGTGGACAAAAAGTTTGACTGGCAAAAAGAAAAAGAAAAAAGAAAAAGAAAAAAGAAAAAGAAAAAAGAAAAAGAAAAAGAAAAAGAAAAAGAAAAAGAAAAAGAAAAAAAGAAAAAGAAAAAGAAAAGAAAAAGATGCCACAACAACAAAAAAAAATCCCACAAGCTTTCGACTGACGGGGCCTCGGGAGGAGAGTATTTGTCATAATGCCGCTCAGGTCGCAGGACCCGGAAGTAGCTGCGCAGGGTCGCCCTTCCTGCTCTCCGCAGATGGAGGGGACCTTTTGGCTTTAGGAATCTCCGCTGGCCTCTGCCTTCCCTGCGGTTTCTCTTTCCGCACCGGCAGGACCCAGGGAAGGCGGGACAGTGGCATCATCACAACAACACCTTTGATAATAGCCGCCCCTTACATACGCTTGAAGCCTCCTCGGGCCTTCAGTGCTTCTCATTTCAACTAGCTAGTCAGGCCAGGCGGCGATCGTTCTTGCTTTTCACACCTCTCAGCCTATTTCAAGACCCCCTTTCCTTCCGCGTGTTCGGTGTCCTAGTCGGCCCACCCCCTACCCCACCAAGGCCTGGGACTGATGCAAAGTCAGCCCCTAAGCAGACTTTTCGTTCTGTTTTGTGGAAGTTCGAACCTTCAAAAAGCCAGCTGACAAGGGGGAAGGCGGGGTGGGTAAATTGCTGTACTGGGCATGCGCAGTTCCGATTCCAGCCCCTGCTGAATAATACGTTCTGGAGGGTGGAAATGAGAGACTTACTACACATGCCTGTGACCGTTATGCCCTCGTTGGGTGGGTTGCTGTTAAAATAACTAGTGCTCCCTGAATATTGGCCTTGGTGATATTTATCCCCTCTTTGTTCTTTTTCCATACACAAACTCTCCCTTAATAGGTTTGGAGAAGCCAGGTGGAGTAGGCAGCAGTCCCCAGATGCACAGCGTGCAGTGCCTCAAGGCTGTACACCAGGGCAGTGGAGAAGGAGCTAGGACTTAGACTCCCATAATCTCATCTGCAACCCTCTTCTTTGACTGGAAGCACGTGCTTTCACAGTCTTATCTGAAAATAGAGTGCCCTCCTCCTGGCCCCATCTTCCTCCTATGTAGACTCTTTGGAACTTCCATTTTCTGATCCTTGCTGCCTCCTGCTTACTTGGAGAGTCCTGTGCCCCTCTTCACTCTACCAGCAGACTCTTGGGCAGCAGTGTACCTGACTCAGGGCCTGACCCCAGGTCAGTTCTGCCAAACTGACTAGAGGGACTCTTGGATTCTAGTCTGTATGTACAGATCCTCCAGGTCCTTACTATCTTCAACTCCCAGCCCCATCCTGAAGCCCTCAGTGCACCCTTCTGTGTCATCATAATGGCCAATATCCACTCAACAGCTTATCCTGCCTGACACTAATTAAGATCCTTATATTCATCTTCCTCCTTAATCCCTTTCATTTATTCCTCATGACAACTACTCTCCTCTGGGTGGAAAGGTAGCACCTTGCTGTCCAGGTCTGCCCCATTGTAACAACCAATACTAAGACTCATCCTGGGAGTACAGAAGTTTCTGCTTTCTTTCAGACAGCATTTACAGAGATGCACATACACACTAAAAAAGGATGGAGGGAAATTCACTATTGCTATGGACAAAAAACAGATGAATAATTAGAACTTTGCTGGCTCACTTGGGAGGTGAGGGGCAGGGCATGTGATGCTAGGCAAGGAAGAATGGCAACAGCTGGGCCATCTTACAGCTCAGCCCTCCCTGTAGTCTATCATGCCAATCTTACATCTATTCCAAGATGACAGTAAAAGGTCTGGTTTTTTTTGCCCCCAGTGGGTCCTGGCTGCTATAAGGGAGCTTTGTCTCTCTTAGGGAGATTTCCTTGAGACAAACTCCCATAGGAAACCATAGATGAGGTATTGGTTACTCTTTGGGCTCTTATTGTCTTAGTTTGGGTTTATAGCGCTGCTACAGGTGACCCCAAGATGTCTAGATAAATTCTTGTGATCAGTTCCACTGCCCTAGAAAACTCCCCTAGCCCTTCTATTAAAACAAGGCAATGAAAACAACAACAAGGCATCACCTCACATCTGTCAGAATGGCCATCATTAAAAAGTCCACAAATGATAAATGCTGGAGAGTGTATGGAAAAAAGAGAACCCTCCTACACTGCTGGTAGGAATGTAGTTTGGTGCTGCCATTATGGAAAATAGTATGGAGATTCCTCAAAAAACTAAAAATAGACTTACCATATGATTCAGGAATCCCATTCCTGGGTATATATCCAGAGAGAACTCTAATTTGAAAAGATACATGTACTCCACTGTTTATAGCAGCCTTATACACAATAGCCAAGATATGGAAGCAACCTAAATGTCCATCAACAGATGACTGGATAAAGAAATTGTGGTATATTTATAAAACGGAATACTAGTCACCCACAAAAAAGAATAAAATAATGCCATTTGCAGCAAATGGGTGGACCTAGAGATTGTCATTCCTTTTTTTTAACTTTTTTTATTGAGTTATATTCATTTTATAATGTTGTGTCAAATTTAGAGATTATCATTCTAAGTGAAGTAAGCCAGAAAGAGAAAGAAAAATACCATCTGATATCACTCATATGTGGAATCTAAAAAAAAGAGAAAAAGAGGACACTAATGAACTCCTCTACAAAACAGAAACAAAATCACAGACATAGTAAACAATCTTATGGTTGCCGGGGGGAAGGGGATGGGAAGGGATAAATTTGGGAGTTTGAGATTTGCAAATGTTAGCCACTATATAGAAAAATAGATTTAAAAAAGGAGGGGAGGGTATAGTTCAAGTGGTAGAGTGCATGCTTAGCATGCATGAGGTCCAGGAGTTGACTCCCAGTAGCTCCTCTAAAAATAAATAAACCTAATTACCTCCCGCAGCAAAATAGAAAAGATAGACAATGAGAGAGAGAAAATAGATTAAAAAACAAATTTCTTCTGTATAGCACAGGGAACTACATTCAGTATCTTGGCAATAACCATCAATAAAAAATATGAAAACAAATGTATGTATGCATATGCATGACTAGGACATTGTGCTGTACACCAGAAATTGATACATTGTAACTGACTATATTGCAATTAAAAAAATGAGTTGTTATTATGACAGTGGGACAGAAATACCCTCTATCAAGGTAGTCTCCTTTAAAAGAAAAGTCACAGCTGTTCAAGTCAAGCCCAAGTCCTGACAGACATCTATATAACACTCCACCCAACAACGGCAGAAGTTACATTCTTCTCAAATATGCATGGAGCATTCTCCAGGATAGACCATATATTACCATAAAACAGTCTCAATACATTTAAAAGGGTTGAAATCATACAAAGTGTGTTCTCAGACTGTAGTGGAATGAAATTAGCAATCAATAGTAGAAGGAAATTTGGGAAATTCACAAATACATGGAAATTAAACAACATCATCTTAAATAATTAATGGATCATAGAAGAAGTCACACAGGAAATTAGAAACTACTTTGAGATTAATGAAGATGAAAACACAACATACCAAAATTTGTGAGATGCAGCCAAAGCAGTGCTTAGAGGGAAATTTATAGTTGCATATTCTTATGTTTAAAAGGAAAAAAGTCTCAAATCACCTAATCTTCCACCTTAAGAAACTAGAACAATAAAAGTAAGCTAAACTCAAAGCAAGTAGAAGGAAGGCTAGAATAAAGATTAGAGAAAATCAACTCACCCACAAGTTAGTTCTTTAAATTGCCAAATCTTTAGTTAGACTGACCAACTCAAACCCAGGTCAGCTGAACAGTATGAATTTGCAGCCCCAGCTGGAAAGCTAGGTGGCTGTGGTTGCTGAGTCAAGGAGTCCCCAAATGTGAGACAGATATCAGTACTCTGCCACCCAATAGAGGGCTTTAGATGGCAATGTTCTCAGCTAACTGTGGAAACAAATCATGACTGATCAAACCATCTAGAGCTCTTACACAGATGCCCTGCTAAGGGCTCATTCTCTGATAAGACTATAGGGATCAAGCTGTTGATCGAGCCTCCACTGCCCAGACTGTCTCCATTTATGTCTGGATCCATCATCATACAGATATGGCAACATGTCTACCATCACAGAATGGGCACAAAGTAAAGGACTCTACACTTCTGATGCAGAGGCCACAACTCCATGCAAGACTTGTAATTTCTGCCAAAAGTTCATCTGTTTGTCCTGCAATGAAGGAGACCACAGTGTATGTGGTGTTGCCCCTGCCTGCTCTTGAGAGATTGAGTGCATGGGACCTTTGACTCCTTGGGGCTATGGCTGGTGTCTTACACTTTTTGAGGGTACAATGGTGCTGTTCCAGGCCAACCAGCCAACTTTAATAACACGATTGTGGTTCTTGAGACTAATCTGTGTATTGTTTTTGGCTTTCTGGACCAATGGTCTAACAATGGTGCATCTTTTATCTCAAAAGCCACTCAATATGATAATCTAGGTATTTGGTGGTCCTTCCATGCTCCCTATCATCCATAATCATGCTGATCCTCAAAAATTAACTCAAAGAAATTTCTGACTCTCTCTCCAGGTCCCCACACCTCCATATGGCAGTTCAGTCACTGAATGTGGCTGTCTCCAGGATGGGACCATTTCCCCTAGGCTGTGTCCTATGTAATGATCAAGATGAGAGGGGTAGGGTTTACATAGACCAGTTCTGAAAATTTAGGGTTCCACACTCACTATTCCTAGACATTATGCTTCTTTCTTTCCCTTAACAGCAACCCCAGGCCAGCCTGGTTGCTGCAATTCCAGGTGGCAGCCCAGTCAGAAAGGGGTTTAGGTGATTCTCACTATATTATTGTTCAGCCACTTGGATTCTCTTGTTGGACAGACACAGTCCTGCATCAGAATAACTGGAGTGCTGGTGTGTACACCTCTCTCTTTGAGTCCCCCAACTGTGGCCCATGTGTAGGATGGGGGACCTAATGGATCCCTGTATGTTTTATAAAAACGTCTTTGTCCCCCGATCCTTGCAGATGAAAGGTGTGAGTAGGGGGTGATTGGAAAAAAGTTGAAGTTCTAACTCCTGGAATGGAACACATCGATTTTGTGGCCATAGAGGGAGAACAGCAACCTTGGCACCTGGGGAGGGAACACCTCAGACCCCAGGAGATATGGGGGAAAGAAAGAAATGTGTAAGCTTTGTCTTGCCGAATCACCTGGAGCCTTCTTCATGGAGGAAAACATCCAGGTCCAATTCTCTCGAACTGTTGCAAGTGACTTAAATTTAACAGACTGCTGGGACTGCAGTGCTCCTGTAGACAGTTCTGACCTTGGTTTGGTTGCCATTCTGCTTATCTTTTCCAAGAGATTGGAAGCAGCAGAGGGTAGCTTCAGCTCCTGTAGCTGTCACATAAAATACCTGGTAACACCATCACCCCCAGCTATCGTCCCCATTGCCAGTCCTGGAGCCATTACCACTCTGTCATGCCATGGGTGCATGAATGCCATCTGGCTGGTGGCATGGACAAACAGGACAGATTGGACTAACTGTCCTTTGCCAGGTCCTCCAAAAACAAGGACTGGACTCAGTTGGATGGGACCCCTAAGGCCTACCAACATGCAGAGAGGCCACACTGGAGGCACTGTCAACCTTGGCACCCCATAACTGATGTAGGTCGCACTTGGGGGCACCATGTTTCTTCCCAGAAACACCATGTGCACCCTTGAGACTGTATGACTTATACAGAAGTCACCCATTAACTTGTCTCTCTCCTGAAAACAGAGGGACTTGAAATTTATCCTTGACTTTAGCCTACTTGCAAACTAACATGTGAGCTTGCCACAGGTTCATGTATGCAGAAGACAGGCGATTCCTGGGTCAGAGACAAAGGACTTTATTACTCATGGCTGGAAGCATTAATCCAGGTACAGCAGGATATATTAATTGCACAGACTCTGGCCTGCAAGGAATAAATCCAGGAGAATTCTGTCATCCACAGCAATATTGGTCAGTGAATTGAGGCTGTCCTGAATGCCTTCCAGGCCAAGGTTGATACAGAGACCCAAGGAGCAAGCAACCTGGCTTTCTAAGGTAGATCTGATGCAATATGGATTTGTTCAGCTGGGAGGCATGGTTGAGGTCAATACTGCAAATTGGCTTCATCCTGCTGCTTGGAGTCCCATGGATAGTAGCTTTAATTAAATGCTGTATGTGACATATTGAATAGATTTGGTCCTAGCCTCTTTTGATCATATTTGCCAACAGAGTGGTGAACTCGTGGGAAAATTTGCCAAAAGTCAAGACAGTGTAGAAATGAGGGGTGGATCTTATTGTAAGACAATTCTTCAGGGGTCTCTTGAGGTTCTGCACATTTTGCAAGCAAGGCACTGACAGCCTTTGTCCTGGACTCTCTTCTCAAGGATGTTGGTACAGTGAATAGCCATGGAAGATGGAGACAGTATCTCCCTCCAGAGAAAAGGGCAGCCATTAGAAAAGACTTGGGTCTTAATTTTAGAGTCCTCTCCCATACCACAGTCCACTCTGTGCAGGCGTCTGTCTAGGCCATTGGTGCCACCCCCATGGGAATTGGGGACAAGAGGACTGATGTCAACATGCTGATAATCATGCTGTTTACTGAGTAATAAGGTCCATTGTCGCTGACCCAGGAATCTCCTATCTTCTGGCAGCATGCATGAAACTGGCAGGCTTGCTTGTTGGTTTGCAAGTAGGGTAAAACCCCAGACCCATCACAGTCCTTCACAAGGGGCGATCACATAGAAGGTCTCAGAGGTGCTGGTGGTAAAGCTTATCCAGAGAATTCTAGCATTCACAGCAACCTTGGTCAGTGAATTAAGGCTGTCCTGAATGCCTTCCAAGCCAAGATTGAAACAGAGAAATAAGTCATGGTGGGCAGACCAGCTGTCTGGGAAGCAGTGGGCTTAGGCTCTTTCAGACCCCTCCCAACCCTCATGTGAACCGGCCCAACATCTGTCGCTACCTGTGGCACAGTGGACGTGGCAGTAGTTAGGCCTGTTCCTGAGTGACAGCACAGTGGCACATTGACACACAGCTCGGTTACAGCACTCCCCTGCCCCAACTGCCTCGTTTGGTGAGTCAGGTTCATGCAGCAATGAGTGGATTATGCTGCATAGCCACGGCTCCGAAAATCATGAGTGGTGTTATTGTAGCTTCACACTAACAGGCATCCAGGAGGGGTTGATTTTTCCTCTTACTTTTCACTGCAAGGTGAATTGACCTGACATTTCTGAGAGACAAGAAAGGACAAGATAATACAATAATAAACATAATAATACTTACCTTTGGGGTATTTTTCCTTTGGTCCAGGCACTGCTGAGAGCTTGAATTATCTCCTTTAATACTCAGGACAACCCTGTGAGTTATACCTTATTATCAGCCCCAGTTTGCAGATGGAGAAGCTGAAGCTTGGATGAATTAAGAGATGTATCCACCACAGTCACCCTGCTGGGGTGTGGCGGGGCTGTGCACTGCCTCCAGGCAGTGCATGTCTAGAGCCTGATTCTCAATGGTGGACTCTTTCCTGGGTTTGAGAGGTAGAGACAAGTGACGGGGCTAAAGATCCTCTCCAACTGACTGAGCATGAAGATCGGTTTTCATTTCATTTTCCAACCCCATCTCTCAGTGCCCTGCATCACAGTAGGGGCACATCAGAGGGACTCGATGATAGCCACTTTCAGTAAAGTGTCTTTGGAGAGAGACGCTTTGGGGCAGAACTGTCCCCTCCAACCATCCAAAACTTCCAACCATCATCTTTAGAACCCGCCATCCCCTAGAGCCATTTCTTTCTTCAGAGCCTAGAAGCTTCCCAAAGACATTCAGAACTCAGAGAGGCAACATGCAGCCTGGCGCACAGTCTGTCCTCTCTCAGTGGTACTCTGCCCTGCCCCACAGGCAGCCAGGCTCCCATGCGCGGCTCCTCGTGGACCCCAGACCGAGATATTAATTGAAAGAGCTAATGTATACTGAGTCCTTACTGTGTAGTCAGCATCCACTTAGGGCTTCATGAGAGTCAGCTCCGTTGCCTCCCTGTCTAAAAATGAGAAAGGAGACATAGAGAAGAATGAAGAATTGTCCCAGTTCACACAGCTGGTACAGGAAAGTCAAATGCAAGGAAACAACCACTGCATCATGCTGCCTCCCCAGTTGTAACTTCTGTTAAGCAGGCTGCCACTGCCCCAGCCAGCCACTTCCCGCAACAAGGCATCAGGAGCCCTGGGTTTGAGTTCTGGCTATGCTGTGGACCAGCTGTCTCACCTTGGCCAGGTCCCAGGCCTTCCCCAGACCTCAGGAACCCCTCTGCGTAAGGGAGATCTTCCCTAATATTTAAGCAGCCTGAACATTCCCGGGACTGGGGGTCCCAGGGCTCTTTCTTGTCCTACTCCAGCAAAGCCCTCGGGCCCCACCCTCCTATCTTTAGGACATTTGTGGGGCCCCTCTCATTCCTCCCTCCCAGGAGCGCTGTGTAGGTTTAAGTTCAGTCCCCACATCTCACTTACCAGATGACTTGAGTCTAATGGTTTCATCTTTCAGAGCCTTGGCTTCCTTTTTGTAGGGTCACTGATTGGGTGAATAACATACCAGTGTAAAGTGCATGTACACGAGGGGTGCTCTTGTGGTCTCGCTCTCTTCAGTCAATCGACAAACTTCAGCACCCTCTGCGTGCCAGCCCCTGTGCCCTTAGGGTCTGGAGACAGGTTGTGCCTTCCTGGAAGGGCGATGAGATGAACAATAAGTAACCAAACCCACAAAAAGGAACGTTTCAGGCTGTGAGCAAGGACCAGCAGGAGACAAACAGGTGACGTGACCTGAAGGCCGGAGGTGGCTGTTTTAGAGAAATGCTTCTTGGAGGCAGAAACCTGAGACATGAAGGATCAGCCCCATGCAGAGGCATGAGCTCAGCAGCCCCCAGGCATAGAGGACTTCGCAGGCCCAGGTGAGCAGAGGGAAGCCACTGGAGGCTTTTTAAGCTGAGAAGGAGCATGGTTGGGATTAGGTTTTTAAAGGTGACTCGGGCACCAGGTGGAGGAGGGACGGGAGTGGGCAGAAATGGTGCTGAAGAGACCCGTTAGGCGGCAGAAGTGATCTGGACTGACCACAGAGGTCATGGCCTCCTCGGACTTGCAGGAGAACTTAGATCTAGGATGCATGGAAGCCTGCTGGTAGATTCTAGGAAGATGGTGTGACTGAGTGTGGTGACACAGGAGATGCAGAGAGAAAAGGTGGACAGGCCACAGACACCACAAGCACTGGACTGTCGCAGGCTGCCCTGCAGACCCACTCTGCATCCCTGCCCTCTCTGTTTCATGCCACAAGGCTAACCTTGTGTGCTATACCCTCTTTCCAGGTCCCCCTGCTGGCAGGCTTTCATTTGGGTTCGGCACCTGGGAGGCCCACTGGACAGGAAGAGACGAGGGTAATGTGAATTGTGCAGGTGGAAAGCTACTGCAGGTCTCTGCCAAAGGTCCCAGCTCTGGCAGGGCTGCCCGCCCCTCCAGCTCCAGTGCCTGCAGCTCCAGGGTTAGGTCATCACCCACCTGAGGGTGCCCACTGCTTCCTGCCGGGTCCCTCATGAGAGGAAGGATTTGGGTGCTGACAGTAGGGAAGCTCACTGAGCACTCGCTGTGGGGTGCCTCCCCTCATTGCTTCCAGTCACTCAGTCCCCTCAGTAGCCTCTGAACCAGGGCTGCCTCGTCCGCATCCTACTCTTAACAGCATTAGACACCCTTGGCCATGCCCCGCTCCTGAAAAGCTTTCTCCTCTTGGCTCTTCCTGCATTGCACTCCCGGGTTTCCTCTCTGTCTTCTCCTGCCGCTCCTTCTGAGTCACTTCTGACTCTGCCTCCTCGTTCTGACCTGGGAGTGGTGACCTCCCTGGTTTGCCCTGGGCCCTCTTCTCTCTTGAGCTGCCTGTTCTTTCTTGTGGCTACAAACACCCCTGTATGCTGAGGACCCCAAGTCTACATCTCCAGGCCAGACATTCTGTCAGAGGTCCAGACCCCTGGATTGAGACGTCTTTATTTGGATGACACAATCATCTCAAACTCCCAGACAGAGCTCTACTCTCTTCCCCGGGCCTCCCTCTCTGTTGCCTTCTTATCCACCCAGGGGCTCAGGCCAGAAATCTGGGAGCCATTCATTCCACCTGTCTCTCTGGGACCCTCTGCTTTCCCTAGTTTCTAGATTCCACATCCCAAACACAAACCCACTGTGTCCAAGGTATATCAACTTTCCTGGGGTGATGGCAACAGCACCCCCTCTTGCTCTGAAACAGCCCCACTGTAATGAAAATAAAACCCAAATTCCTCGCTGTGGCCTCCCACTTGCAGATGCTCTTTCTCCCCCTTCCTTCCCAGTCCATTGCTCCGCTGGCCTTCTCTCAGTTCCTAAAAGAAACGAATCTCTTTCCTAGCCTTCATCCCTGCGTGCTCCTGTGTAAACTGTCTCCACAGGCCACTCAGTCCCTCTGGCCTCCTAACAGGCTTCCCCCTGCTGAGCTGACCGCAGACCCAGTTAACTCCTGCCCCTCCTCCAGCTTTTGGCTTAAAAGTCTCTTTGTTAGAGGGGTTTCCTGGACCTCCAGGTCCCACCACGACCACTTTTGTTCCTGGCTCCTTGCTCTTCTCTGTCCCAGCACCGACCTCTGTCACAGCCTCAGTCATGAGTGAATTGATGTCATAGGTCTGTCTCCTCCAATACAGAAGCTCCAGGGGGGCAGAGATTAGTTCTACTTGCTAGAAGAGCCTGCAGTAGGTTCCCAGTTTGTTGAATGAACAGGGCCCATTTTACAGATGAGAAAACTGAGGCTTGGAGAGACTCCAACCTTGGTCTGTTAATGCTGTGTTCCAAGGTGAGTCACAGGCTCCTCTAGGCAGAGGAGGGTCACATTCCCGATGAATGTGAGGGAAAAATGACTATAGAATGCTCAGCTGTACACCTGGCAGGCGGTAAATATTCAGTACTATTCCCTGCCTCAGTGTGTGACTGGAGACCCGAGTGAGGGTGGGGGCTGCCCTTTACATACCCTCCTAGCTCCCCTGGGGACATGGGGTTGTCCCATCTGCAGGACTTGACTATCTGAACAGGACCTGAGCCCACTGAGCAATTCAGGCAGGGGTCCACTAAAGGGTCTCCCTCAGTTCCCCCAAAGAAGCCTACCTTCAAAGTAAAAACCATGAGTTCTTTGCACGGGTGTGCCTAAAGGCAAGTTCCTGAACCCCCTTTCCCTCAGTCAGATTGCAACCCCTGTTCCCCTCGGAGACGGTGGCACCCTGACTTGTCTGTGTCCTGATCTGGATGTTCCCTGGTCACACTCACCCCCTGCTGAGTTCTGTGAGTCAGAGACTGAATCCTGGGGTCTCCTAGCCAGGTCCCTGGTAAATGGCCTGGGCCCCAGGACACTGCAGCCCTCAAGGGCCTCCCTTCCAGACCAGTGGACAGACCTGGCTCCTTTCCAGCCTTGACCAAACTCAAGGTCCCTCCCCAGCCCCTGCCAACCCCTGCCCTGGGGCCCTGCTGTGCCCCTCCCCAGCCCCAGGCCCTCAAGCATCACCCTCCTCCTCCCGGCTGTTAGCCTGGGAAGGGGGCCAGGCCCTGAGCTCAGACCTTGGCGATTCCAGAGTGTCTGAGGCCCAGGGCCAGCCTGGCCAGACAAGGCGAAGGGGCGGGGGCAGGGTGGGCACCAGGAAGCCATTTAGAAGGGGTTGGCAGGAAGCTGGGTTTCTAGATTTGCTCTATCTGCTCCTCTCCTGGACCCCACAGGCTTCTTCCCAGGACCTCGCTGAGGCCTTGGCTAAGCGGTGCCCCCTCCTTGAGTTCTGTCCTCAGGGAGGAGTGGATCAGTACTAATGAGAAGGGATTTTGGGGTGGTAAGACCCCCACCTGTGCAAGGGAGGAAGGGCAATCGCTGAGAGGCCTGGGTTCCAGTTCCACCTGGCTTCCGACAGTCCTTGTGACCCCGGGCCAGGCCCGTCTTCCTCCCTCAGCCTCGGTTTCCCACTTTGAAGCGACCGGGCGGAGGTGGGCGCGGGCCTCCCGGCCCCGCCCAGAGGAATCCGGAGGGGCAGCCAGCGGTCCCAGGTGAGGGCCCACTGGAGAGGGCCCAGCGCGGCGGCGGGTTCCGGCGGGCCGGGCATCTGGGGCGGGGACCGCCCCCCCACCCGCAGCCTCCACCCGCCCGTACACCCTCGCTCCCCCAGGCGGCAGCGACGACGCTTTAAACAGAAAAAAACTGTCTCCCTGGCCCGGGGCCAGCATCCCAGCCCCCCTCGCCGCCGCCGCGCCGCGCTCCAGCCAGGGAAAACAACTGCTCACTTCTCCCTGCGTCCGCCCCGCGCGCTCCCTGCTTCCCGGCGGCCGCGGGAGCCCAGCCCGGCCGGGGGAGGCGCGGAGCGGGCCGGCCGCCCGGCCTTCCTCTCCCCTCGCTCCTCCTCTCCGCCTCAACTTGCTCTGGCCTCCTCGCTCCGACCTCAGTTTGGGGCCTTCGCAGGCCCCCGACCCCGGCTCGTGGCTGGGCTTCTTCTCGGGGTGGTGGAAGTTTCTGGGCTCCCCGCGGTCCAGCCTCCATCTCTCTGCCTCTCACTGGGCCCGCTCCCGCGCCTGCTGTCCCCTCCCCGCGCGCTCCCTCCGTTCCTCTCCCTCGCTGCCCTCTCTACCCATCTCCCGGGGCTCCCGGCTTGCTATACCCCTCGGGCGCGGGGACCATCGCCCCCGCTCGGGCGCTCCCCCCGGGTCCTGCGGCCCCGGATGCCCGGGCCCCGTGGGGCTGCTGGCGGCCTGGCCCCTGAGATGCGCGGGGCGGGGGCGGCGGGGCTGCTGGCTCTGCTGCTGCTGCTGCTGCTGGGCCCGGGCGGCGGGGCCAAGGGGGGACCAGCGGGCGAGAGGGGCGCTGGCGGGGGCGGGGCGCTGGCCCGCGAGCGCTTCAAGGTGGTCTTTGCGCCGGTGATCTGCAAGCGGACCTGTCTCAAGGGCCAGTGTCGGGACAGTTGTCAGCAGGGCTCCAACATGACGCTCATCGGAGAGAACGGCCACAGCACCGATACGCTCACGGGCTCCGGCTTCCGCGTGGGTGAGGGCCAGGGGCACGGGCAGGGGGAGTGGGGAAGGCAGGCATCAGGACAGAAGTGAGAGACACCTCAGGGTAGGCCATGTGACCCTGAGGGCCATGGCTTCCTAGAGCAGAGCGCTGGGGGCCTGGGGCTCCAGGGTCATCCGGGGCTTGGGAGGCTGGAGTCCAGGGGCCAGAGTTGGGAGGGCTTCATGGAAGCCTTGACTTCACAGCTTTGAGCTGGGGTTGAGGCCTAAGGTGTGGGGTAATGCTAGAGTCCTGGATGACACAGGCCTCTAGGAAAGTGCTGGGTTCTGAGCAGGAGTCAGAGTCAGCAGGCAGGGCTTTTGAGAGCTGTGAGCTGGTGGTCTGAGGTCTCAGAGAAGGGATGATATTCCCCTAAGAAACACACTTGCTAGAAGAAACAGGAAAAGTCTTTAAAAAATGCCTAAAGTGGGGCCTGCCAGCAGTAGACACCTGCATTCCGTGGGAGGAGGAGCCAAGGTCAGGGCCAGGAGTGAGGGAATTGGTTACCAGCCAGGTCTTAGAGGGGAGGGGTGTTGAGGCCTAACAAGTGGGAAGCAGGCCTGGAAGTTGGGGCTAGTTTGGGTCCTCAGTCTCTCCTTTTCCTGGTGCCCTATCTATGCTTCCCCCATAAGCCCTTAACAGCTCTGCCTCAGAGGCCCTAAGTCTCCCCACAACAAGCCCTAATGACTCCCCAGTTCCACTTAGAGCCCACCCCTTTCCCACCATCTCTCTGCAAAGGCCCAGGTCTGGGGCTCAGCTGTCCTCTGGCAGGGCCCTGTGGGCCAGGCTGGAGGAGGTGTCCCAGCAGTAATTACCCTCCTGGACAGGGTAATTAGGCCAGGCCCAGGATGGCACCAGCAAAACAGCCCCTCTTTCACGTTCCTATACTCACATGCCGACTCACAGACCTGAGGAACTCCACAGATGTGGTTCACAGTTCTCATGTGATGTGTGTGCACGCGCGCATGAACATGGCACACACAGAGGCACGCATGGGCTTTGGAGTGGCACTTGGGGATCAAGTCCATGTTTCTTTGTGTTGCCTTGGGTGCATGTCTGCAGTCACTGTGGGAGTGTTTGTGTAAGCCTGTGCTGGTGTCAGAATGAGTCTGTGCGCGTGTGTGTGATGAAATGACTATGCGTGTGAGTGAATGTGGGCCTGGCCTCCCAGGCCCCCTGACCATCCTACTCAGGATGCTGTCTCCATCTGTGCTGCCCACATCCCCCAGGCTCGGTGCCCAGGCCACAGTGGGCGGGTGTCACTGGGAGGTCACCCTCACCACTATGAGTGACTCACTGGGAGGCAGGAAGGAGAGGATCCTGCCTCCCCTGGCCCAGGACACACCCCTTCTGCCCTGAGAGCCTGGCCCCAAGAGGCTTGGCAGGATGGGCTGGGCTGGGATACTCTTTTCCAGGCCTCCATGGCCATGCATGTGGGCTGTCCCTCTGAGGCCCTTCAGGTGTCCACAAGTAGCACTCCTACCTTCCCATCCTGGGAAGTGAGGGCAGCCATGGGACAGGCAGGAGATAGGCTGGGTCTGGTGTGTGAGCTCAGGTCCCTGAGGCTGGATTTTGGATGTGAGTGTGTGTCAGAAAGACAGAGATCACATCCTCTCACTGAGACATTCCTTCACTCATTCCCCCTGCACCTCTTCTGGCACCCAGAGCTGAAGCAGACCTGGCCCTGCCCTCCAAAGCACCCTTTATATTGTGGGAAACAGGGTAGAGCTGGGGCAGAGGGTGGGTGGGATCTGAGGAAGGGCTCCCTTCCTGGGGGAGGGGGCTGGACTGGAGGGATAAGATGTGAGTAGGTAGAGATGGGGGACAAGGCTTTGAGGGGCAGGAATGGCATGATGAAAGCCAGGGAGGCAGAAGATGTGACCTGCTTGTAGGAGATAGGAATGAGTCCTGGAGTGTAGGGTGCAGGTGGAAGGAACAGAGGAGTATGGGCAGAAAGAAGGTTTCTTCTGCTTGTGGAGAGAAGGCAAGGAAGCAAGCTGTGAGCTGGAGGTGTGTCTATGCCAGAGCTTTGCCTGAGGCAAGTTTCTCTGAGGGTACTGGGATGAGGCCAGGAGCAGGAGGAGCAGAGGGCATGGAGAGAAGGGGATATGGATTCATGAGATGTGACAGAGGCTGGAACTGGGTGGGGTGGGAGCTGGAGAGATGGAGCCTCAAGGCTCAGTTATGGATGCCTGGGCATGCAGGGATTTCCCTGTGGTGGTCCAAGGCCAAGAGTAGGTGGGGAGGCAAGACGCTGATTTCTGACAGTATCTCCTGGGTGGAGGTGCTTAAGAGAGGTCCTGGAGAGGTATAGTTAAGTTGGTCATGGAGAAGCATGGCCCTGGGATGGCAAGACAGAGGGAGCAAGAGTCTAGAGTGGGCTGAAGCAGGGGAGGAATTTAGTGGGGAGGAGGAGAAAGCACCAGAAGGAGACTGGATTTCTGGGGAAGGCCCAAGGGGAGGGAAAGGCTATTCCATCATCTTAATCATCACCATCACCATTATCATCATTTGCTACTACTTATTAAGCACCCTCTGTGTACTGGACACTGTGCTAAGTGTTTGTACATGCATTGCCTCATTTAATAGACAGGTCACCCCTATAGATGAGAACACTGAGGCACAGGGAAGGGAAGTAAGTTGCTCAGGGCCACACAGCTGGCACATGGCCTCCCAGCTAGGATTTAAGTCCAAGATTAGGACTCCAGTGGCCCCACACATATAAGGATGTTGGGAGACCTAGAGGGTAGTTTCCCTGTGTGTGTGATGTGTTACAAAAACCAGCTTCGCAAGGAGGACCAGTGGGTGGCAAGGAAGTGGGAAAGTTGCAGGATGTGGGTGAGGGACTAGGCCTAGGGGCTGGGGACAGGGGTCTGCCTGGGCCCTGATCCATCTCTCCTCCCCAGTGGTGTGCCCTCTGCCCTGCATGAACGGCGGCCAATGCTCCTCCCGAAACCAGTGCCTGTGTCCCCCGGACTTCACGGGTCGCTTCTGCCAGGTGCCTGCTGGAGGAGCTGGTGGAGGCACTGGCGGCTCAGGCCCTGGGCTTGGCAGGGCTGGGGCCCTGTCCACAGGCGCGCTGCCGCCCTTGGCTCCAGAGGGCGAGTCTGTGGCCAGCAAGCACGCCATCTACGCGGTCCAGGTGATCGCCGATCCGCCGGGGCCTGGGGAGGGGCCCCCTGCCCAGCATGCAGCCTTCCTGGTGCCCCTCGGGCCAGGACAGATCTCAGCGGAAGGTACCAGGCGACAGGCAGACCCCTGGAGGCCGAGGTGGGCGGGCACTAGGGTGGCAGGACCCGGGAGGAGGCCGGCCCTGGAGGAGCTCCGCACTCCCACCCAGTGCAGGGGGCAACCCTGAAGCCACCGTGCCCCGCCCCCCAGTGCAGGCCCCGCCCCCTGTGGTGAACGTGCGTGTCCACCACCCGCCGGAGGCCTCAGTCCAAGTGCACCGCATCGAGGGGCCCAACGCCGAGGGTCCGGCCCCATCCCAGCACCTGCTGCCGCACCCCAAGCCCCCGCATCCCCGGCCACCCACCCAGAAGCCCCTGGGCCGCTGCTTCCAGGATACGCTGCCCAAGCAGCCTGTGAGTGAATTCACAGTCACCGCTGGACTGGCCCTTCAGTCTCTCAGGGCTGCCCTGTTCTAACTCACCGGGATTGCTCAAAACTGGGGGCCCTGCTGGTTGAGTGGGGGAGGAGGAAAAGATTCTCAGGAGGGAGGCCAGGCTGGGACTGGGCACTCTGTAAGGTCCACACTCCTCTCCCTAGTGTGGCAGCAATCCCCTCCCCGGCCTCACCAAGCAGGAAGACTGCTGTGGAAGCATCGGCACTGCCTGGGGCCAGAGCAAGTGCCACAAGTGCCCCCAGCTGCAGTGTGAGTGCCTTGGCTTGTTAGATGCCCCCACCCCTTGCCGCTGCAGGATGGACCCATGGACACCCCTCCCAGCCCTGCAATGGGAGACCACAGCCTGAGCAGCCTGAGCCACTCACTGTCCACCCAGTTCCTCTCAGCATCACACTCTGCCCACCCCCACAGTGCCCTCCCTTCTCTCTCTGCTGGCCCCGCAGTGTCCTCCCCTGCCATAGTCTCCTCTCTCTGCAGACACAGGGGTGCAGAAGCCAGGGCCTGTACGTGGGGAGGTGGGCGCCGACTGCCCCCAGGGCTACAAGAGGCTCAACAGCACACATTGC